CCAAAATTATCCCAAAATATTCCCAAATCAGCGTCCGGAGCATCGCCAAGCTCTGGGGGTCCCGAGGGGTGAGGCGGCCCAAAATTACCCAAAATATCCCCAAAATATCCCAAAAATATCCTGAAATTATCCCCAAAATATCACCAAAGTATCCCCAAAATTATCCCAAAATCATCCCAAAATTACCCCTAAATATTCCCAAAATATCCTAAAATATCCCCAAAATTTTTCCAAAATATCCTGAAATTATCCCAAAGTTATCCCCGAATTACCTTGGAACTATTCCAAAAATATCCCAAAAAATATCCCAAAAATATCCCCAAAATATCCCAAAGTTATCCTGAAATTATCTCAGAAATCCATCAATTAAATCCCAAATAAATCCCCAAAATTTCCAAATAAATCCCAAAAATCCCCAAATAAATCCAGAGAAAATCCCCAAAAATCCCAAAAAAAATCCCAAAAAAATCCCCAAAAATCTCCCAAAAAACCCAAATAAATCCCCAAAATCCTCAGATAAATCCCAAATAAATCCAAAAAAATCCCCAAAAATCCCCCCAAAAACCCAAATAAATCCCCAATAATTCCCAAAAATCCCCCAAATTCCCAAAAATCCCCCAAAAATCCCCAAATAAATCCCCAAAATCCTCAGATAAATCCCAAATAAATCCAAAAAAATCCCCAAAAATCCCCAAAAATCCCCCAAAAACCCAAATAAATCCCAAATAAATCCAAAAAAATCCCCAAAAATCCCCCAAAAAACCCAAATAAATCCCAAATAAATCCCAGAAATCTCCAAAAATTCCCGAAAATTCCCAAAAATCCCCAAATCCCCCAAATCCGTCTGTTTTCCCGCAGTTTGCCGAGATCATGCAGAAGATCGAGGAATACATCGGGAAGCAGCCGCGGGCGGCCGAAGGTGACCCAAAAATCCCAAAAATCCCCAAAATCCCAAAAATCCGGGATCCCAAATCCCAAAAATCCCAAAAATCCAGGATCCCAAATCCCAAAAATCCCAAAATTCCAAAAAGCCGGGATCCCAAATCCCAAAAATCCCAAAATCCCAAAAATCCGGGATCCTAAATCCCAAAAATCCCAAAATCCCAAAAATCCGGGATCCCAAATCCCAAAAATCCCAAAAATCCCAAAAATCCCAAAAATCCCCAAATCCCCAAAAATCCGGGATCCCAAATCCCAAAAATCCCCAAAATCCCAAAAAGCCGGGATCCTAAATCCCAAAATCCCAAAAATCCGGGATCCCAAATCCCAAAAATCCCAAAATCCCCAAAATCCGGGATCCCAAATCCCAAAATCCCAAAAATCCGGGATCCCAAATCCCAAAAATCCCAAATCCCAAAAATCCGGGATCCCAAATCCCCCAAAATCCCCAAAATCTGGGATTCCAATTCCCAAAATTCCCAAAACCCCAAAAATCCGGGATCCCAAAAATCCCAAAACCCCCAAAATCCCAAAACCCCCAAAATCCCAAATCCCCAAAATCCCAAAAATCCCAAAAATTTGGGATCCCAAACCTCTGAATCACACTTTTTTTGGGGAATTTTGGGGGATTTTGGGGAATTTTGGGTCGATTTTTTGGGAATTCTGGGTGGATTTTTGGGAATTCCGGCCGGATTTGGGAATTTTGGGGGTTTCCTGCTGGAATTTTGGGAATTCTGGCCGGATTTGGGAATTTTGGGTTTCCTGCTGGAATTTTGGGTGGATTTGGGGATTTCCTGCTGGAATTTTGGGTGGATTTCCCCGTTTTCGGGCAGTTTTGGGACCCTTGTTTAGTGGGATTTTTGGGGTTTCCTGCTGGAATTTTTGGGGTTTCCTGCTGGAATTTTGGGAATTCTGGCCGGATTTGGGAATTTGGGGGTTTCCCGCTGGAATTTTGGGCGGATTTCCCCGTTTTTGGGCAGTTTTGGGGCCGGTGGAGGCGGCGCCCGAGTACCGGGTGATCGTGGACGCCAACAACCTGACGGTGGAGATCGAGAACGAGCTCAGTGAGCGCCGGGAATTCCGGGAATTCCGGGAATTTTGGGAATTCTGGGGGATTTGGGGGGAGATTTGAGTGGATTTGGGGGGATTTGGGTGGATTTGGGGGGATTTTGGGGGATTTTGGGGGATTTGGGGGGATTTTGGGGAATTTTGGGGAATTTGGGGGGATTTGGGGGGATTTGGGAATTTGGGGGGATTTGGGAATTTGGGGGGATTTTGGGGAGATTTGGGGGGATTTTGGGGGGATTCGGGGGGATTTTGGGGTATTTTAGAGTGATTTTGAGGGATTTTGGGGGGGATTTTGGGGAATTTGGGGGGATTTGGGGAATTTTGGGAATTTTGGGATCTGATTTGGGATTTTTGGGCTCCCCCAGACATCATCCACAAATTCATCCGGGACAAATATTCCAAACGTTTCCCGGAGTTGGAGTCGCTGGTGCCCAACGCGCTCGATTACATCCGCACCGTCAAGGTGGGCCCCAAAAACCCCCAAAATTACCCCAAAACCAGCCAAAATAACCCAAAATAACCCAAAAATCTGCTGGGGAAACCAAAAATAACCCAAACCCACCCAAAACAACCCCAAACCAGCCAAAATAACCCAAAATTACCCAAAAATCTGCTGGGGAAACCAAAAATAACCCAAACCCCCCAAAATTACCCCAAAACAGCCAAAATAACCCAAAATCACCCAAAAATCTGCTGGGGAAACCAAAAATAACCCAAAACCACCCAAAACAACCCCAAAACCAGCCCAAAAATCACCAGAAACACCCAAAAAACCCCAAAACCAGCCAGAAAACACCCAAAATAACCCAAAATAACCCAAAAATAACCCAAAACCACCAAAATTACCCAAAAACAGCCAAAATAACCCAAAATTACCCAAAAATCTGCTGGGGAAACCAAAAATAACCCAAAACCACCCAAAATTGCCCAAAACCAGCCAAAATAACCCAAAATAACCCAAAAATCTGCTGGGGAAACCAAAAATAACCCAAAACCACCCAAAATTACCCAAAACAGCCAAAATAACCCAAAACAACCCAAAAACCAGCCCAAAAATCACCAAAACACCCAAAATCCCCCAGGAAACCCAAAATTTTTGCTCCTTTTTTTTGGATTTTTGGGTGGTTTTCGATTTTTTTGCATTTTTTTGCTTTTTTTGGGTGTTTTCTATTTTTTTTCTTTTTTTTTCTTTTTTTTGATTTTTGGGCTTTTTTCGTATTTTTGTCCATTTTTTTGCTTTTTTTTTGATTTTTGGGTGGTGCTTCAATTTTTTTCAC